GGACTGAGCTCCTTTTTTCCTGCCAACTAGAAAGTAGATCACTGGGTTAATACTGCTATTTAGGCAGGAAAACAGCATAACACACATCATCCAGTATACCAGTTGAATGTCAAATTTGGTATTTGAAAAGCTAATAATCAATCCGAAGAGACATAATGGAAAGTCAAGGATGAGGAAACAGAGAAGAGTAATTAAAATTATCAGTAAAAGCCGACCCTTATTTTTCTGTTTTGGTTTAAGACACACTTTGGTGAAAAGGATCACAGTAGAGATTGTGATCAATGGAAGGCAAACTATAGCAGTCAGAAGAAAAGGGAGAACGTCCACTTCGTACTTTAGAAAGATTTCCATAACACTGATAATTCCACTCAGGAGGAAACAGGAAATCCAGAGGAAAGCACAGACAACAGAAGACAAATGGTTTGGCCGGGAGCAGCGATGCCAGATTGGGAAGAGGATAGCCACACACCGGTCAATGCTGATGGCCGCCAGAAGAAAATTTGTATTGATGAGCATCACTCGGGTGAAATAGTTAAAGACGTGGTAGAAAATGTTGCATTCTAGAAAATTGGTAAAGGGATGGATATGATGTATAAATGCACATGTGAGAAACCCAAAGTCTGCAACGGCCAAGTTAAGGATGAATGTGGTGAAACAGTTCCTCTTAATCTGGAAGCCAAGTAGCCAAATTATGTAGCCATTGCCCACCAATCCAATACAACAGGTAATGAAAGAAATGCTTATCCACACATTCCATCGTAAAACAAAATCGGTGTTCCCTTCTGCATACACATATGAGTCATTGGTATTGTTATATTCATAATTGTCCTCTGTAGCATTCCACTCTCCCAGGCTGGAATTCATCATTACGCTTTTATAAATCTCTTGACAATCTTTTTGTCTGGAAACTCCTATTAGAAGAAAAGAAAGAAGAGTGGATTCAGTCATTCCTCTCTCCTAAATCAGTGATCTTTCCAGCTACTCCTATCTCCTAAACCAGTGGTCTTTCTGGCTCAGGGAACCAGCGGAGGGGGTGAAGGCAATGGGGAGGGGGAGGGGGGATGGTTTTATGTAGAGGCATGCTGCTTTCACAAATGCCGCTTTGTAATTGCATACATGTACTCGTCCATGTCTTTGGCCCAGTTCGTAATGGACTGTGGACCATCAACAGGTCATGTACCTCAGGTTGGGGTTCCCTGTCTTAAATAATACCATGATTATTCTACCTTCCAGTATGTAAGGGTTTTCCATAAAGAAGATGTGTGAATGGTATAGGATCTCCTGCTTGATCAGGGAGTTGGACTAGAAGACCCCCAAAGACCTTCCAACTCTGTTATACTGTTATTCTACTTTTTCTGTGAATGGCTTGAGTGATGTGGCTGCAGTAATGAGCCAACTCCATGAACTGTTTATTTCTAAATCTAAGGGGAATGTTGCTTTATCCATGCTTTTATATCTGAAAATGATTTTGGTATTGGATTGGATTGGATGTTTTTACTGTACTGAAATTCAGCAATGTCCTCTCTGCCACTTTATCACTGTTGCACTGTAACATTTAAAATGTGAGCGACAATGCAGAAATTAATATTTATGTTAAGAAAGCATTTTTCCCAATGCTTGTTCTTGTTATGGTGATATGATGCCTGGAGTATAAGAGAGATGATAAGAGATA